ACATCAACAATCAAATTCGCTGAAATTAAGTTAATTATACGTTAAAATGAAGGATAATGATGGTTGAATGTTACTATTTTGTCAGAAAAAATTGGACTTACAATTCGTTTTTTTTCTATGAATTTACAGAGCGCAACCGTGAGAAAAGGCAAAACAAACCTTAAGTTCTTTACATATCACTCATACACTATAAGACTTTATACAGACAACAATAATGTCTATGAGGAGAGCAACGAAAATTTCTGCAATCATTGAACCCTGGGAAAATGGAATTACCTTCACAAAAAATCGTTGCAATTTTTTTTACTCGTAAAAGAAATAAAAAGTAGTTCGTCTTATAAAAAAATACTGGACATCAACGAGATTCCTCAGCAATAAGCGGTTCATTAACCAAGTGCAAGTTTCATAAGAGCAACGCCTTCTAACTTAAGCATGAGTAAATACAACTGAAAAATTGAGCGCCAAATAACTAGCTGTTACTTGCATTTCATAATACAGTACAGTATATATAAGTTACAGTATATATAAACTCGTATATAAGGGTTTTAACTATGAACTGAAAAAGTATTTACATGATTATCTCGCACTACAATAGGTGCGTTTCCTCCCCTTGAACTTGGCATCAAGAGTCACCAATACGGACGGCATTTAAACTTTTGGCCGAAACTTGGGCCGCATTTGCGCTGGCCGATTAACGGCGTCCAATTGGACGCCTATAACCCACCGATGATTTTCCGCCGCGAAGATGAGAAATCGTCATCCAAATGTCATGGGAAGTAATGCGACATTCCAACGAAACATTTTCTCCGAAGAGTTTTAGAAATTATATTTTGAAATGAATATTAGCACCCAGAAGGTCACGGTCAACACTCGATAAACTGGTCAGCAAAAATAATCAAATTACACCATTAATTTTCTTATTTTGAACTTCGTATTTTTCGACATATGATCGCCAATCAATATTTATTCTTTTTCATAAGATATAAGAACCAAAAATACATTCAAGGGCCCGTTCCGCCTTTGTTAATGTAAACATATTTTCACAAGGCACGATTTCGATTAGTAGCAATTAAAAAGTCATTTAATTGGGCAGTACAATCTACATCCCAAAATTTCCCTCGGTTAAACAACAACGATGGAAACAAAGTCTCAATAAATCAAACAATGCCCTTATATTGAAATAATTCATGTCAGTTTTATTTGATATTTATTTGAGATGATACACCTTCACACAGCATGGTCGGTCGAGATAGTGACACGGCCTCTGCCTTATTTAAAGCGCTTCCTGTACCGCAAGCATGAGACCGGCGTCAAGCAAACCTAGACACAACAGCTTCAATTGCGAGCCAGACTATGTGCTTCATGTAGCTCATGATACAGACTAAATGGGCTCCCTGTAGCTCATGATACAGTTCAATGAAGATCATGATACAGACTATATGGGTTCAATNGATAGGATTCATGTAGAACAGGATACCGACGATAATTTTCATGCAGAACAGGATACCGACGATAGGAATCAAGCAGAACAGGATACCGACGATAGGATTCATGTAGAACAGGATACCGACGATAATTTTCATGCAGAACAGGATACCGACGATAGGGTTCAAGCAGAACAGGATACCGACGATAGGGTTCAAGCAGAACAGGATACCGACGATAGGATTCATGCAGAACGTGATGCAAACGGCAAGCAATGCTAAGCAAATGCGAACTTCCGCTGTTACTCCCATGCTTTTTGCTTTAGCTACACGCGCCTCTCGCTGCCTGTCGTGGCTTCTTGTGGGGCTAAAGAACAACACGAATTTCAGGGCCCTTGTTACCAGAAATAACAGTCTAGACATTCAAAATTGAACAGCTTTTAGTGCAATAAAAATCAAATTGTAAATAATGGATACGTAAAGTCAGTTATTAGCTAAAATATTTGAAAAGCTGAGCCTCTATGGGAGAGACATCTGAAAATTATTGACTTATAGGTGCTATGGAAAATGGAACACCCAATTTCTCAAAACTGATTAAAGAAGGTAGTCACGAGGTTTAGGATTTCTTTAACAATGAACACAATGCAATCTTATCACAGGTGGCGTCAATGGTAATGGGATTCCCAGCGTGATTAAACAATGCGATACAGTAGAGGTAATAACGTTATTCATTTTCATCAAAAGCTGATCAACGGATAATTGAATTTCGGTAGTCTAATAACAACGATTTCCGTCGCTAAATTAATATCATGATTTACTAAATCATTATCATTAAGTTTAATCTGGTCATATTTGGGAGATAAGGCTGGGTAATGACTAATTTAGACTATTTGCATTCTTTCAAACAGTCAAAGTCCTAAACTATAACCTTTCTACACGCATAATGGTCACGAGATGTAGTTAATTGTACACGAATAATTCACACCAGTTTAATCGGCGCCTGACAGTTAGATTTAGTTTGCTTATATTGTTTAGTTCAGGGTTAAGTTGAGAGGCTTCTTGGCTACCAACCTATATAGTCGAATCCTCGAAAATTCTTAGCATACCAGAATTCTATCAGCTTATACCATCATTCATATACTGTATAGCTGCATGAAGCTAACGTGGGCAATTGAGAATTCCCATACACAAGATTGAGTTGTATGGGAATTGAGAATTCCCATACAAGTTTGTTATCACGCTAGAAGCAATATTTCTTTTTAATATGACAGTATTTCTAATTTAGTGCTTGCGTGACAAAGTATCAATGGTGTGGCGTAGCGCGAGCAAAACACTCAGAGTTTGATATGGACGACGCAGCTACAGAAGCATGCGGGAGATAACTCGGTGCAAGCCACACAGGAATAGGCTGTCTGTATATGTATATGGAGAACTCTCATAGGCCTTATTACTCAAAGTTTTGAAGAAAATTAACGTATAGGTCTGTTTATTAAACTCTACTACAACTGACGAGGTCAACACGAACTATGGTATCCAATAGTGCGAGATAAATACTTGTGAAGGGAAAACGATGTTGTTAACTATCATTTAAATAAAGTATGATTATTTACTCTATTGCAACATGTTTAACTATGACAAGAAAGAATAAATTACTGCTTCACAACTGAAGCCATCTTCAAATGTCTTTCGTAATACCTTTTTAGAGAAGAACATCATAGGAGAACAATTCATAAGCACAGCAATTAAATTATAGAACAACTTTACGACAATATATATAATTACAATTAACGGTCAAATACATTAATTTTTCACAGTTAAGGTCATCATATAACAAGGATAAGTAAAACAATAGTGATAAATTAAAAACAAACTGCGAAGTAATGGCCATCCGAAAACTAGCCTTTGTTAAATAATGTCGAAAATTAACGTCTTTTAAAAGTATGATATTATTAAAATTTAAATCGGTATTTTTATAGTTTTATTCTACAAAAAATATATCTCAGTACTAACTGCAGTGAGTGACAGAGAGCTCATTTTCTCGTCGACGAAAACGTGAAATCACGGACAGACAGACAGACAGACAGACGGACATGACGAGCACAATATGGCGTATTTTTTCCATAAATGAGAAATAATAACATAATATAATAATAATAATAATTAATAATAGCACCTTTTTTCTATAAAATGATACATCATTCAGAAAAATTTGCTTCCACTTACTTGAAACTCTCAGAAACTAGGAATTAAAATCGCAGAATAACTAGCGTTTTATGTTTGGCGTACGTATGTCCAGAACAATTTCTCAACATTCCCGCAGACGGATTTTGAACTGAAAATGCAAAAAGGTCCTTCAGAATCCTTCAGAATAAGCTCAAACACAACAAAAATTTCGACTATGAAAAATATGATTACCATAATTTCTAGTAAAACAGTTGTGAGAACATCTAAACGAGCTAACTGTGCAACATTGCTTTACAGAACACGCTGGGATGCAAATTTCTAATAGGCAATGCATCCTTCAATTTCAGTCAAGTAAAACAATTTTTAGCGCATTTTATCATTTATGGAAAAAATGCACTATTGTGCTCGCCATGTCCATCTGTCTGTCTGTCCGTCCGTCCGTCCGTCCGTGACCGCAAGTTTTCGTCGACGAGAAAATGCGCTCTCTGTCACTCACTGCAATGAGTGCTAAGTTATATTTTTTATGTCAATAAGAAGACAGAACAGGTTTAAAAAAATTAGTTTTTTTATTGCCTCAGGCGCACTTTTGTTCGAAACAAAACAATGCCGTTGATGACAAGGTGGTTTGGCGATGACTATCTTAACCACACGCTATCATTGACGATGGCCGCCTCATCAGTAGCTTCTTACAACAGATCAATGACGAGGTTTCATTCAACGTAAATTTCTGTGTAAATACATTGCCGGTACAATAGCCTCTCATAATGCTGGATTCATACTATAACCGTCAATTATAACCGATTAAAACATTTTTACGATTATCTTGCATGCATCTTACACGTGAGAGGGTATCTGGCTCATAATATCTCTCTATAAAAACAGTCTCTCACGGTCTCACACAAGGCAAGTTAGCCAGAACGCTGTAATCATGAAAGATTTATTCTTATTATTATTATAAAGGAGTTAATTACCTGTCGCTAATTAACTCATTAACTTAACTTAGCCGTAATCAGACATCATCAAACATCAACGTTAATTTTAACTACTGTTTGTTCTCTGAGCAACCATCAAAGGGGAGCCGATAGTAAAATCGTCTTCTAATTGGACTCCTTTTCTTCAGCGTTCACAAACTTAGTCTCCTATAACGTTTAACTGTCGCTAATTTTTTTAAACGTTCATGCAGAGTCATCGGACAACCGCCACAGCGAGTCAAGAACACCGGCGCCGGCAAAGGAAATAATGTGAGTATTTAACGACGCCACAAGCACACGTGACATCATCAAGTCACTGTTAGTCACGCAGCCCCAGTCGGTCTCGCTGCTTACGGCCACTGAAAACAACATCATGCAAAAGTTTTTTGCTCGTGTACAGCGAAACTAAATTTAAACTCACCTAAGTTTTGGCAGAAGAACGATGATTTTTAAATGTCTTTCTGACTAATGCTTGAACAATCTCCGGCCGACACAGAGGAGTCGCTTGCAAGACCTCACGAAGATTCACGTGTCACGCACAAGTCTAGTGAAGAAAGCAAGCCCCACACGCATCACACCCGAACGTCCCGCTAGCTCCACTGCGACTGAGCTGGTGGCGCGGCAGACATGATTATATACGGACTGCCCTGCGGGACCCTAGTGCCATAAACATCTCATGCCCTGACTGCCTGCTCATGAAGAATGAAGTTCATGCTACAACAAACCTCTGAACCATCACACCCACCATCGTATGTTCTCGTTCATGTTGAACAGTCACTCTTAAACATAGTCCCAGGCTGGGACTAATTTAATTAAACGAACAAGTTTTGATTTGACTTGAATGAAGATTTGAAGACATCGTTCATATCGCTGTTGCCCATCTTAGTTTGATCTGCTGCATTGGTCTTCACTCTTTTCTTTCCGGTAACCTGAAAGACATCATTGTTTTGAACTTGGAAATTATATGCAATAAAAGTTTCATAATTGTTGCATACCTTACGAGAATACAGCATTTGTAAAATAAAGAGAACTCTTTATTCAAATCTCCCATCAAGGCTGCATGACTTGATAGTCAAGATAGTAGCCTATCTTTGCGTGCAAGATTAGACACGCGTTGGGACTTTGACACCTACAATCATGCACAGCATGTGACCTTAGATTGTGATTTGGTGTTTTATAGCTGACGCTGGGTACGTTTGTGAAGTTAAGACAAATTTTAATGTCGTTGACAGGTTTATACGAGATCTGTTTACACCTACAGCACTTGTGGGCAATTTTACGTAGCCTCTCTCGATCGAGTTAAGCCTCGTATTTTTCCGATTTAGTTGCTCCACGATTCCCTCGATCTAGCTACGCTCTGTATTCCTTCAAAACAGTAGCTGCACACATTCACTCGATTGAGTTGCTCCGCTCATTTTCTCGATCGAGTTGCAGCTCGATTCGATTAAATCACGCCACAGATTTTCTCAATCGAATTGTGATCTTTTCTTTATTTGATATTCTACACATGAAGGCGGACATCATATCTTTCTTACGTAATTCAAGTCTTAAAATTTAAAGGACTATAAAAGCTCGTTTGTATTCTTTCTCGCCTGATACTTGAGGACTTCACAAGACTATAATTGGCTTTGAACGATTTAAAACCATGGGTCAACTTTTTACGATTGTTGAGCTTTACGAGGAAAAGAATTTTGATTGGCTGACGGACATACAACATCGTAAGTAATTTTTAATATCCTGCCAAGAAACGGACAAATCTTGCAACACAGATCACCAAAGGACAGCAACAGGAGGACGACACTCACAGCAGTTCGGAATCGGACAGCGACTCCGTTTCAAACAGAAAGTTGCTTACTGTTAATCCAATCAAAAATACATAACATGAAGCAGTGCTATGCTACGATTCTCCAGGTTTACAACGTGAATACTTTTAATTAACTTCTACATAGTTATGATGTACACAACTTTTGAAAGTTGCGTAACGACATTTCATTTCAAACCTCTCTGTTTATAGTTAATTTTCGTGAACACGTGATTGCATCTATACAATCATCCAAGCAAAGGATGTCCGGCATCACAGTTCAGTTTTATGTCGGAGCAAACATCTCATCGTCTCATCGTCTCATCGTCTCATCGTCTCATCGTCTCATCGTCTCATCGTCTCATCGTCTCATCGTCTCATCGTCTCATATCGCCTCATCGTCTCATCGTCTCATCGTCTCATCGTCTCATCGTCTCATCGTCTCATCGTCTCATCGTCTCATCGTCTCATCGTCTCATCGTCTCATCGTCTCATCGTCTCATTGTCTCATCGTCTCATTGTCTCATCGTCTCATCGTCTCATCGTCTCATCGTCTCATCGTCTCATTGTCTCATCGTCTCATCGTCTCATCGTCTCATCGTCTCATCGTCTCATTATCTCATTGTCTCATCGTTTCATCGTCTCATCGTCTCATCGTCTCATCGTCTCATCGTCTCATCGTCTCATCGTCTCATCGTCTTCAGAGGACATCCGTTAACTGCTATATAAGCTTAACGCTGGTCGGCGCTCTGCCATGCATACTATGATTATCGCAACATGTTTCCTGACGCTTTCGTATGTGTGCGTCACTCCCATGACGCCATCGACTCGTGAGTTCTACATAATTCATTTGACAACAGAACGCATCTTGGTTATGTGCACAGACATTAACATGCAAAAAATTGAATTTAATATTAAATCGACAATAGAACGCATCTTGGTTATGTGCAGAGACATGAACATGTAAAAAATTAAATTAAATATGAAGAATTACCGTCAATGAATAAGAGTCGCCCCGGTAGTTCTAAGTCGATGAGCACCAGTAGCAACAATAAATCTTGTTGACAACATTTTATTGAAGCACTCGATTTGCATGCACACTAGATAACTTTGAAATATTTTATTTCACATAATTACAAGCATATTTATGTATTTTGAACGATTATAATATAGTTATCATTGTACGACAGTGAGTAGAGAGCAATAGAGAATTGTGAGTCATAATTGACCCTGCAATTCAATAACTAGATAAATGAATCATTTATCTAGTTCACTTATTCTAAATGAATATATACTAAATGAATTATTTATCTAGTCACATTCAATAACTAGATAAATGAATTTTGAGTAGCCGAATAACCGGATGCTACATGATGCTTCATATTGTGACGCTCATTACGATCCGAAATGACTCAGATATGTAAATGAGTCAAGCTGACACACTGGTCGGTGTTCAGCGCTTGTTTAGCAAACATATATGAACATGCACTTTAATTGGCCTTCGTTACTCACTTATATATTAAAGATTATTTCTCGAGTGGGTCAACGGGGATTCTCTGAAGCGAGACATTTGAATTTAAGAAATTGTGTTTTCAAGCAGTAAAGCGGTACACATTTAACCCAGCATAAACAAGTATGGCAGTAAAGCGGTTCATGTTTAACCAAACATAAGCAAGTATGGCAATAAAGCGGTTCATGTTTAACCCAACATAAGCAAGTATGGCAGTAAAGCGGTTCATATTTAACCCATCATAAACAAGTATGGCAGTAAAGCGGTACACTTACTTATGCATGCTTCATCAGCAACCATGTCAGACCGTTTAATGTTCGTTTAAAGGCATAAAATCTTTGGCCTGAGTCTGATTTTTGAATAGCAATTATAACATTGGTATATTTTGCAAATTTTTATCATTGTTGCATGTAAGATTGAAGCCCGTGAAAATAATCGCAATGTGAGCTTGTAAGAGTGAAGGCATTTTGAATATGGAGAATAAAATATCCCTCGGATGTTTCCTACAAATAATGCTTAATAAATTAGCACATGTAGGTACCTGAAAAGTGCGAATAGAAATGAAATCCTAAAGAAAAGATGTCAGAAATGAAATTACACGATACCAAAAAGCAAAGAGCAGGCGACTTATTCCTTGACGCCAGCGGGTGTTAAAAAATATAACTCGGTACTCACTGCAGTGAGTGACAGAGAGCGCATTTTCTCGTCGACGAAAACGTGAAGTCACGGACGGACAGACAGACGGACGGACGGACAGACGACGAGCAATTTTCCTAACGATCATCGTATTGTAGTTTTTAAAAATGCTTAATTCAAGGTTTTCGTTGATTCTTCTGGGGGACATACTTCATTATAGAAAAATTATAAATATAAAGTAAGTAAAGCTTAATAATAGAATATAAAGTAACCAAAAAATCAGAAACCTAAGATGACCTGTTTTTATAAAAAAATGACATATGGTAATTAGAAAAATGACATATGGTATTTAAAGTAACTAAAATGACACATGTTATTGACAGCACCGAAGTTAACAAATATTATGTGAGTTATTACTGTAAAAACGGTAATAACATAACATAACATAGTGATGTCGGCGCTGAAATGTAGGCCTGATGTGGCCTGTCGCCGATTCTTTTCCTTTTCGTGCCTTGTTCATAGATCTAAACTCGTATCATTTGATCGGATCTTTTCATGACTGGCGATAGTTTGAAGAAGCTACTAGACTTCCACCGGGTTCGATATGGTGCTAGGCAACATGAATTTCCATAGTAAATTTAGTAGAAGTAAATATATAATTTAGTAAATAGAAGAAACAAAAATATAACTCAGTACTCACTGCAGTGAGTGATACAGAGCGCATTGTCTCGTCGACGAAAACGTGAAGTCACGGACGGATCGACGGACGGACAGACGGACAGACGGACATGGCGAGCACAATAGTGCATTTTTTCCATAAGTGAGAAAATGCGCTAAAAATGACGAAATATATTATATGACGAGCGCATTATCCATAAGATCACGAGCGAGCGCATCGAAGAGAGATCTTAGTGGTTGACGTCATTTTCTGAGCATGGCGGCGACACGTCATCACCTTACGTTGTGACCATGACGTCATCTTACGTCACATTCGTGACGTCATCTTAAGACTTATTTATGACGTTAACCTCCGTCACAGCTATGACATCACAAGCCTAGAAGTCGAATTTCGCTAACTTATTCAGTGGTATGAACGTGATACAAATATATTGTATGTCATTCCACGAGAATATATCGTGATCCTCTAGAATTTTCACCCACAACGAAATTATTACGTTGGTCGTAAAATTTACAATCAACACGAAAATATTAGTGTGATTCGATAGAATTTTCGATAATCAAGAAAATATTACACTAGTCTTTAAACCTATATAGCGATGGTCGTTAAACTTACGATTGCCATGGAAAATATTATTATTATTATATAGAAATTGCGATTACTTTGCGAATATTGCAATGTGCGTATAGAAATGCTATTGCCACGAATATATTACGATGGTCCAAGAACTTATGAACATTACGACAATTTCGTTGAACATCAAACTAAAATAGCGAAAGAAAGTTTTATTGATCTTTCACTGAGCAGGAATATAAGTTTTTACATCAAGCACCAAACTTCCCACTATATAGTGCGCACAACTGAAGCAATACATATATATATATATATTCCTGATCGCAAACTTTGGCGCAATATCATCACACAATCTAAAGTCGATTGATTTGTGTCGTCATGTTTACATTGTGGAAATGAAATATCCGGTTTACATTGTTGAAATAAAATGTCAAGTTTACATTGTTGAAATAAAATGTCAGGTTTACATTGTTGAAATAAAATGTCAGGTTTAGATTGTTGAAATAAAATGTCAGGTTTACATTGCGGAAATAAAATATTAGGTTTACATTGTGGAAATAATGTCAGGTTTAGATTGTTGAAATAAAATGTCAGGTTTACATTGCGGAAATAAAATATTAGGTTTACATTGTGGAAATAAAATGTAGAAATAATTTGATCATAGTCGCCAAACTTGATATAGACATTAAAATACAAGTAAGTTAAGTTATCGTTAACGATATCTTCTTCACTATGTGAAAAAACATAGTAAACACTGAAATAAGTTTGTTATGTACATTCACTGCGAATCAATGCCTGCGCGATCACTGAATTTTTTTCCGACATGTCAGCATTAAATATTTGAGAGGAATGTGCAACGGGGGAAAAAATTATCATTAGTCGTGATAATTTAATGTTTTTGCAGCATCTTGAATGATAAAGTGCATAATAATCTGCAATATTACAACTGAATTTTTTCTGCAATATTTCATATTGAATTTGCTCTTCGATATTGCAATTGAACCTGCTCTGAAATATTCAAATTGAATCTGTTCTGCAATGTTTCAATTAAACCTGTTATGCAATATTCTATACTGAATCTGTTTTGCAATAGTGCAATTGAATCTGTTATGCAATAGTGCAATTGAATATGTTATGCAATATTGCAATATAACCTGTTATGCAATATTCTAATTGAATGTGCTCTGAAATACTTCAATTGAATATTCCGGGTCTCCGTTTTCCGCTGCTAAGGACTTTTTCCAGTGCCCAGCTATGTACAGACATCGCAGGCGCCCAGCTATGGGCAGGTCCAGCTAGCATGGCTCTTGATAATTGTCCCGTATTAGGGCTGCCGCATATGCTCTTCCTGTGCCCATACTTTGATATGCTCTGTCCATGCTGTGCTATTCTCTGCTACGCTTTACCCATGCTCTGTCTATACTCTAATATGCTCTGCCTTTGCTCTGCCAACGTTCTGCCAAAGTTATGCACATCCTTTCTCAATACCCATGATCTGCACAAGTTCTGCCCATTCATTGCTCTGAAGTGCTGAAACGTAGCAAAACTCGAGTAATTCTTATAGTGGCAACGCCTGTTATCTGCAAGACCTAACAGCTAATGTTTTCTCTTACATATTTCTTTAATATTTACATTGTTTTCTCTTCTTTTTCTTCACTTCTTGTGGTAGCCTATATATTCTGCTATAGGCATCGAAAGTCGAACATCTTAAATTTGTATAAGGCAATATTCTTATTAGACAAACTCTATAAACGACATTAATCTTTATGTAAAAGCTTCTTTTGCATCCTCGATACAGATTGCGTAAGCGGAAGGTCTAACGACTTATAATTATACGCTGGTTCATCAATTGCACCTAACGCACATGCCGCGTACGTATGCCCCGAGTTAGAACGGGACTAATTTCTCGTTAAGCTCTTCCGGAGATCGCTGGTCATAATATTATCGTATATTGAAGTTCCGTGTCTTCAGTGGTATATTTCTAAAGCTGTGTTTGGGCTTGCTGACTGATTTGCCATTTTATATTTTGATGACTGAACGGATTATTGGAAATGAAATCTCGGAAGTCTTTGTCGCAGGACTGCAGATTTAACGAAAAGATCGAACCTGGGATATTTTTTGGCGTATTGATTAATTTTAATAATGTATTTCGAACATGACTCTTAATAATAATGATCTTCGTCTTTTTCATGCTGTCAGAATTAAGTTTTAGACCGGGCTTGATTGTTGGAAATGAGTGAGTTAGGTGCGGTTCCCAAATTATAACACAATTATGCTAAAAAATATCTGTTTTACTATAATATATTTATTGATTACTTTTCTAATATAAATAAATTGACTTGCATTGCATTCGCATTTCTGACCTTCAAAAAGCCGGAAATCTGTTGAGAACTCTGCGAAGAATTCGGCTAATTAACCATTCCTAGCCTAGTACTTGCTATTAACCATATAATCTTTTTTACTTAAGATGAAATGTTAATTAACTTAACTTAAATTAACCATTCCTAGCTTAATACTTACCATCAACCATGTAATCTTGATTGCTTACATGCGCATCAAGCCGCGCTGTGAAGTGTTGGAGCGTCGGAGCAATACTATGAAAGGCCTCTTCACCCTCTTCACTTATCGCACAAACACGCGGAAGTTGGACCTTGGAGCGCGTGTGAAGAGGAAGTTGTGCGTGTGAGTGCGTAAGGCTCAACACGTACGCACGCAATGGCTTCATTCATGAATTAGGTAAAGCTTCCGCGATTGAGTAATCTCGATGGAATATATGAATCTTTAGTATATTTCCGAAGATAATAAGAACGACTTCAGAAAACTAGTTAATGAAGAGAAAAAATATACTTCTCTGTGAGAATTATCACTCAAAAGAATGAATGGCTCATATTATACAAATAGTTACATTCTATCGGCACGAAGCATATGCCGACGAGCTCATTTGCCGGGCAAAACTCAGCTGCTAGACTGAGATGGCTGCTAGACTGAGAAGAATGGATGTGGGAGTGTGTGTTGGAGATGAAAGACTAAAAATGCTATTGTATGCAGATGATGCAGTAATAATGAGTGAAAATGGTGTTGAACTTCAGAGTATGCTTGACTGTATAACTGAGTATGGCAAGGATTTTAATGTTCTCTTTAGCCCAGAGAAGAGTCAGGTGCTAGTTGTGAATGGAGCAGCTGAGGATGTGGGTAGAGTGTGGCAGCTGGGAGGAAATGTGATTGGTATGACAAATGAGTATAGATACTTGGGAATGAGTGTTGATCAAAAAGGATGTGAGAGAACTTCACCTCTTCTAAGCCTCTTCTCTTTAATGTTGCTTCCACCTGGCTTGGTCTCCCTTCTCTTCTTCTTACTAACAAATGAAAATGTGATGCGTGGCTGATGGCCGTTGCAAAGGCCTGACCCTGAAATTCTTTTTCTCAGAGTCACCACGCCCCAAATCCAAATCCAAATCCAAGCTAGATTCACACAAAGTAAAAACGTGAATCACTATTTGGACAAAGTCTCACTAATTTTTTCAGTGTATGTAGAATGATGAGGTCACTGAAGCTCTCATGTCACTGTCATTGACTGCCCAAACAAAACAAAGATCCTCTTCACACAAGGCACCGGTTTATTGGGTAGAGGGGAGTTTGTATTCTCACCCTCGGGTGGCGATATGCCAACAAACTTCACTCATTCCCATTATAGAAGCTGAATATTTGTCTCTGCAGTGTTCATAGTACGTCGTCAAACTGCAGGGGCCAATTAATATTCCTTGTTTTTATTTATACATTTATTCTTAAATATTTACACCGGCCGGTGCAGTTCTTCAGCAGAAATCTGACATCAGTACTACCAGGTCTACTCATTGCTCGAGGGTGTCACGTACGAGGAGGTCGGTCTGTTGGATGCTACCTTGTGTTTTGAGTGAATTCAATTACGAAACTTCATAGTTCTTACTATAAGAAAGGATCCCTATAGTATATCGATTTTAATATAATTTTTACACAAAATTCTATGTTCGTTTCAATTGAGTTCTCTGAACCAACAATAACTAATACTTTTTTGAAAGCTCTAATTCGATTGTATATGCGATTGGGAAAATGCACAATATTCTACGAAGGTTTCGTTACTTCAGTCAATACCAATTACTCCCAGTTGTGTCATAAAGGCTGAAAAATATCAGTAATTGACTAATGGGTATTCGATATTGAGTCCCTCCAGTATCTATTTGAGTACATTGATATCGTAAAAAACACAGTACAACGCAGTACCTACAACGCTATTTGAGTTGGGATTATTAATATATACAATATATAGTTGGAAAATTTATTTGTTTGGGTGACGTAAATAGTGCGATTACTTGGTTTTTCTATCCTCTACTCTACTACATTCAAATCACCTGAGGCACTCTTGAAATGTTACGCTTGGCACTGAAAGTGTCAGATGTGTAGAGTTTGGTTCGAACAGGGAATCGCATGCGTTTATGCCTAAAAAATTCAGTTCGTTTCTAATTCCCCTTATAGTAATGGAAATATTTAGAAACGCAACATCAAGAGATTTTGAAAGAATATTTAGATCTATACTACAATAATTTAGTTGAAAATTTCTCGAAAGCATCAATAATATTTTCAAGTTTGCTCTACGCTAAGCTGAAGCCACACCCGGAGTATTTCGCTCGAACACAGTATTCGAGTGGAAAATGGCGGACTGCCAATATCGGGCGGGTCGGCTGATCCATTTCTTATGACTTTCTTGATGTTTATGTCCATCAAAATGATTAACTATGGGTGTACAAGGTCACTTTAAGCTTGTGAGACCTTTTGAAATGACTATAGATGGATATCATTGTGTAAAATACGTCCTGGAAAACATCGATTAACAACTATTGTCGCCGAGCTTGCTATTGACTCGGCAGTTCGCCGATCGTGTCAGAATTTCGTCAAGAGCTGTGTAAATATCTTCGTGATGATTTTATCAGAACTTTGTCACCGTTGAAATATTGAAGTTAATTCTTATTTATTGACGTTATTAGAATATTCTCAGTGGTTTGATTCCTGTAGACTGGTGAAGACAACGATTGTAAGCTTCTGGTTGATGCTCGTATTGATGTTAACTGTGAAACGGCTGCTAAAATAATTCAATATGTGGAATATGATGTGTGATGTGATGCCCACTATTGCTGAGGATAGCATATCTCAGCGGGGCTCACAGTTTAGTGGTGATGATGGAAATTTGGAGCAGCTTATGGTGTCAATGCTTGATGAACGAGACAAACTCCTAGACACCATTAGGGAAAATCAGGAAAAGCTTAGTGAACTTGAAGCTAAATTCCAGGACCTGCAAAAAGAACGAGACAGCTTGCAGCGGCAACTGGATGCTAATTTACCACAGGCAAGTATTGACAAATAACACTTTATTTAATTCTGAATGGTATGGAAAAACAGGAAAATTGCATGACCAAATCATCTAGAATGTAATTGTAATGTCAGGCAAAAATTTTTTAATTTGCAGATAAACAATATCATTTCATAGATGATTTTAAAAAATTGTATTAAAAAATTATTATTTTTTAATGGAAAATTTATTCAAGTCAATTAGCTAAGCCTATTTGAAATAGTTGACAGAAGTTCCCTAAAATTGCAGGTAAAAACAATCATTTTATGCAAGCTAGGAAAAAATCTCCCATTATGGCCGGGAGTCCCCGGGACTAGAGCTTATCCACCATTTTCAGAACTGCAAGATTCCTGCTAGATGAATTAACTCCTATTTAATTGTTGGCAAAAGTGCACAATAGTGCCACGAGTTTCCAAATGTATTGAAAATTTGTCACGCCAGAGTCATGGTCATGAGATTTCAGAAACAAGTGGGAAAATTCCAATCCTGTTTGTCATGGGTGATTTTAAGAAATCGCGAGTAAAAATAACTGTTTTTATTAATTTTTATTGGAGAAATTGGAATTAAATCTATTGGAATGGATTGAATGGGAACATTTATATGAATTTTTGTCCTATTCATAGGCAAGTTCTCCAATTTTCCACTTTGGCAAATGGCAATGGACCGGCTAAAATTTGCCATGAGGACGGGTGATTGTGTCTCCTTCACAGGCGGCTTCTGCCCGATTGTCCAGCATGGCAAATAATAATAACTTTAAATTGTTTTAAAAATATGTAACTCTCTAGCAGGGTAAAGGTAAAACTAGAATTTAGGTAAATGCTATGTCTTTAATCTTGAATTGAATATTAGACGAAAAAAGCTCTTTGTTATGAATATGAAGCTAGTATTTTTTATTGGCATGTCTTATGATTCTTAAGCAATGAGAGCTCGGCGAGGTTGATGCTATTGCTACCTATGTGATAATGTGCTGATGAATTTGTTGTAAACAGAGGCCAAGAGATGAAGATATCTTCTCTCTAAAGCCATGAGCCCATGACCAAGATAATAAAAGTCATTATTTTTACTAAAATCTACCAGCTCTGAAGTGACATGTTTACAATAATTTTTCAATCATGTATCCCATTGTCTGACTTTCCTTGACAATTACATACAAGATAATTCAGCAAGTAAAATTCTCGTGGCTCTCAAGATGTTGGAAATTCTCTAGTCTCAAAATTGTGAGCATGGTATATATGCCACACCTGCTCATGGTCAAGTCAGTGTATTTATATTTAAAATATAACTCAGTACTCACTGCGGTGAGTGACAGAGAGCGCATTTTCTTGTCGACGAAAACGTGGTCACGGATGGACAGACGTACGGACAGACAGACAGACAGAAATGGCGAGCACAATTGTGCATTTTTTCCATAAATGAGAAAATACGCTAACAAGCCACTAAGCATGTTTGGGATGCACCAGATAATTAGATCTCACTAAGAGTGCTAGTGGCGTGATTTTTCTCTGAATAAGTTACTGTAGTTAAGCAACTGAACTATACGGTACAGAAATTGTAAAATAAATGTGCTGTGTTCACTCTCTATTATTCTGGCACAATGTTCCTACCTAAACGGGTAAATAAGCATGAAAATAAAATGAATATAATTTTCATGTGGTGTGTGGTATGAGGGAAAACTATCAAAAATTTCATATCCACGTGGCAGGTACACTTGCCTCATCATATACCTGTATTTTCATATATACCTGTAGTATATATAAAATATATACAGGTATATATATAACAACTACAATTACTTGTATTATTGTGTTATATTGTATTTCTATCTATAGGTAAATACCACATATACCTGTATATTTGTCTCAATATTTTGTTCTCATGACGTTAAAATTATGTAAGTGCATACATTTATCTTTAAAATATTTATTTAAGAACAACATTCAGTATAGTTGTAATTATAGCTAGTAGATGTCAGTTATAAGCTTGGATTTTTTGTAATGTTGTTGCCCATTGTTCACAGCAACAATTTACCAATGGTGAAATTTCCTCACACTGCAAAATTGGCAATTGACAAGAAATATAATCTTGCCAAGATACTCCTTAGCATGGAAGCCTTATTCAAGATTTTTGGGAGATGGGGACACATTTGATTTGACCTGCCTAATCAATTATGGTGAATCTCAATAATTTTATTAATATTTTTGTGGGTAAGTGACCACTTAAAGTCACTATAAATCTCCTCCCATCACTGCCTTGGTTCGTGTTTGAGGCTCCGTTATCATGTCCATGCCAATTACCAAGTATCTGACTGTTGTTCCATACAATGGTCATCACCATCTACCATGTTGATCATTAAAATATCTGCATTTAAATGAAGGTTTTGACTTTTGGACAATGAAATTGAGGCTCTGAAACACAATGAAATTGAGAACATTTTTCAAAAAGATGGAAGTAGCAATATCAATTCAATTAATTAATTTAACTAACTAAAATTGAGTTAAATTTAAGTAAAAAAATTAGTCTTCATATTAAAATAGTTAAATTTAACATATATAAACGTTTTTATATTGATGACTATTTTCAATAGATTCTTCAACTGCAAATTACTTCTTCAATTTGTTGCATTTAGAAAAATGCATTCAAGGAAATATATCTTTTGAATTTCCATACTTTATTGTACTAGTTTTACTAACTTGAATTTCTGAATTTTTTTATGACAATTCCCTCATAAGGGCTAAGTCCCTCTCTTTATTCAATATAAATTATGACACCACTTTTAGACTGATCTTAATTAGACAAGTATTATGGAGAATTTCTGTATTTTCTTGTCCTTTACCACATGCTGATAAAACTTTTAACCTAAAATATATCATTGTGCTAAGTTTTTATAACTACCAAGAACTAAATGCTTGAAAAGGTCATAAGATGTATATAACAAATAAGTGCTATTTCAGTGATTTAATATTCGAAAGTCACTAAAACTAGTCCTACTAAAGTTAGGTATATACTAGTTTCTTTTAGGTTAAACCATAAGAGTTTCATGAGGAACTAGAATTATCAAAATTCTATTTATTATCAAGATAATAAATATAGATATAAATAAATATTATCAAGATTCTATTATCTGTTGAATACTGAAAGTGCTGTCTAAGTTGGAAATTCACCCAACTGTACAAACTTGAATGCAACATATTAAAGTAAATCAAGTTGATCTATAACAAAGCAGTTTGATGGCTTGATGATGGGCGTTATATTGGTCAAACAGACCTGATATCAGAACCTTAATATTAATGTTTTTTTCAGTCTACCTACCTACTGCAAATGTAAGGACGGAATACAGATCTTATAGGTTCAGAAGCTCGGTGCAGTGGTGCAAGGTTTTAATAAGGTTGTTTAATTTTGAGCGCTGCATTTCTAGGTTAATCAGAGTTGAGTGGATTATTTGATAGCATTCATTTTTGAAAACGTAATTCTCAACGTGGAACCCAATGTGGTTGCGTGGCATGTTATCTGAACAGCTTAGAGTTTAAAATGAGTTCAGCACGCCAAGCAGTCTGTATTATAGAGGTAGCTGTATATATATACGTGTATATCTTGTATTTTTCTCGATGTTGCCTTGAACACAAGCTTGGCTGTCAAATGCAGGTCTTCGACTCGGCATCGGATCGAGATTTTCTGCAAGACATAAATAAGAGGATCGAGTAGCATATCCTGCAGAACTAAGTTCTCGGTTGTGTTGACTTCTCTTTCTTTATGATTCATACCATCACCATTGCCATGTATCTTGGATACACTCATCGAACAAACGAAATAAACACGAGCCTTGACACTGAGAATACGGTGAGGTAAAAAATTCCTGTCCATTGAACTGAGATTTGAAGCGTTCTTCGACGTTCTATCTAAATTAAAATATCGAAGTACGCTTTTTGGTGGTAGACCTAGTGGGAGTGAATTGTATTTTTTATATAGTTTCATAGTTTGAGTAAAGGATGATGGATGAGCTTTTACGTTATTTATGTTTGAGCAAGGAGAACTGTGGCTATATGTGGTTATGCGTGCGTGCAAGCTCTTGAATCTTCCATATAAAACAATCTTTCTTTATGCGCGCTTGTGGTTTAAACTTTTGCACTGTTATATTTTACTTTTGTTTGGTAGTGAGATGCTGTCTGGAAAATTTGAAAAACTAAGTGACGTTTGACGTAGTGACTATCATTATAATCGCAGATAGTTGACATCGATCATTTAGGCTTGAGGGATGATATCATTTTATGAATCTACTTGATTAATAAGTTATCGGAATACTATATTCTTGACGTGCTTCTCGGGTCTGAATTCATTTTGTTTCATGCTCATCATAGAACACGCTTTCGACTATCCCTGAGTGACATCAGGACTTGAAAGTGCCGCCTCGCCGCTGTTGATGTCTGTCAGTTTGTTTTGTTTTTGATAAGTGATGACTGCTTATATATATATTCTCTTGGGGCTCATTCATATAGCGTAATTAGCGTATTGTTATCTCGAGCTCTCATTGAACGTGATAACATATCGACCGTTTGTAGCGATCGCTTTTATCCACGTGAATTTCCGAACTTCTGCTCTCTATTCAACGCTTATCTCTTTTATCTTATCACCGTGATGGTGAGAAGGATTTCCGGCTCCTTAATTACAAGTTTATTATTTTTTTCCTTGCGCTAAAAATTCCACATTCACTTGAACAGAACCAAAAATATTGGGTATGCAACTGGCGTGAATGCGAAACTTAATTCCAAGTGAGCCTGAAATGATGGCATTAGCATTTTTATCCAACGTGAGGAAGTTTTTAAAATCATTTCTGAAAACATTGAAATCGAGAATACAATTTGAATCGTCGTTAATTATTTACAAATGACTCCTTGTTCATGTAAAAGATCTGGCATATTTAATTACAGGATACTGATCCGCCGTTTTGTATTTACGGACGCTATAGCAGCCTGTGTTCATATTGCTACACTCGTTGATGA